ACACACACACACACACACACACACACACACACACACACACACACACACACATCAGACAATGGTGGGAAAGCAAAGGTCAGGGTTCAGAGACAGGTGAGCTACTCACCGGCGTGGGCACGTGCCCGGCGTTCTCGTAGTACGTGTGAGCGATGAGGAACATGTCGTCCACTCCCAGACCCAGGGCGAAGAACGGAATGATCTGGGGACGGGGACAAACCGGGTAAGAGTTGGATAACCAAATGAAAACTACAGGGGAAAACGACGGTTGTCACAAACTGAAAATCGTGAGGGTACCAATTTTGAACGCTTGTTGACTCATAACTGTATTTCTGTTCAACTGTTGGTTGATTATTGTTGTTAGATTTCCCATTCAACAACACTTAATAATAAACCACCAGTCAAACAAATGTAAAGTTATGAGTCCACAAGCTTTTAAAATTGGCACCCTAACAATTTCCAGTTTGTGACTACCGTCGTCTTTCCCCTGTGCTCTTCAAATACATGAATCCATGTGCAGGATTCCTAAATGAAAGTATACATACTGAAAAAAAAACCCAGCATAATAATAGGGGTAAGATTTGGATAACCAAACACATGTATTCATGTGCAGGATTCCTAAATAAATGTAGACATACTGAAAAAACAACAACAACACCAACAACAACACCATCAATAACAACAACACCACCACCACCACGACCACCACCCCACCAACAACCACCACGGCCTTACCTGCGTGGTAGAGGCATTGAAGCTGATCCCTAGCACAGAACAGACGCCCAGAAACAACAACAACAACAACAACACCAACAACAACAACAACACAGTCTCACATGCGTGGTAGAGGCATTGAAGCACACTCCCACCACCACCAACAATAACAACAACACCACAACACCAACAACAACCACCAACCACAAACTCACCTGCGTGGTAGAGGCGTTGAAGCTGATCCCCAGCACAGAACATACGCCCAGCCCCGCGGCCACGGACAGAGACACCAGGACCACGCCGGCCATGCCAATACCCGACTGTGAGTTGACGGCGTCGTTCCAGCGGAGCAGCGACACACAGGCGTACACGAACTGGGGACACGTTGGTTCATGTTTTAGTTCCGAGTTTTACGGCAATTGCGATAGAGGGAGAGGGAAAACTTCCACATAATAGCGCTTTTTCTTTTAAGTTTCAGTAAATGGTTTACTGCACTAGCAACATCATTAGGTCATATAAGTGCCGAAGACTGACAGAAAGGCTGAAAAAAAGACATAGAGACTGAAAAGGGAAGACAGACAGACAGACGGACTGACAGACGGACAGACTCACTATGAGCACGTATCCCAGCAAAACAGACAGACAGACAGGACAGACAGACAGACAGACAGACAGACAGACAGACAGACAGACAGACAGACAGACTCACCATGAGCACGTATCCCAGACAGACAGACCGACAGACGGACAGACAGACGGATGTACTCACCATGAGCACGTATCCCAGACAGACAGACAGACAGACAGACAGACAGACAGACAGACAGACAGACAGACAGACAGACAGACAGACAGACAGACAGACAGAGGGATGTACTCACCATGAGCACGTATCCCAGCACGACCCGTGTGACGCTGAGGCTGGAGAAGTCCCGCATGATGTCCATCAGAGACGTGTAGGAGAAAGCGTACAGGTTGTCCTTGTTCGACTCGTTGCCGAAGTTGTTCACCACCTAGGGACACATTATTCATTTGAGTGGGTAAAAAAGCTGTACATCGAGGGTGGGTACGAATTTTACGGAACTTGCAACACTATAACTGGTCGCTTTTTAGCACAGGGGGGCTATCCCGAAAAATGCTGTTTTGAGAAAATCGAAGGTAAAGTTTTTGCCCCTTGTTCAATTTCTTTAAAATACAAGGGGCGTTTTCTATATAACCAAAACAAATATACACACCGATGAAACCAAACTTCTCCTATAGGTAGGGCAATGCCCACTTTTGGTGTAGGTCAAGATTTCTGGAAACCCCCGAAATCTGGGTTTGCCTAGCCCGCTTGGCCTTAAAAAGAGGCCAACTGTAAGGTCACATAAATGCCGAAGATTAGATGTGTTACAAGAGAGCAACAAATATAAGAAAGAATTAGGAGAAGAGATCAGGACGATTGGTGTTCGATAAGAAAGAAGGAACAAACCACACCAGAGCACATACCAACCACCCACGAGGGTGAGTGGAGTGGTTCTAGTTTTAATAAGTGTTTTACAGTGGGGTGGGATGGAGTAGGGTGGGGTGGGATGGGATAGAGAGAGGGTAGGATGGAAGTGGGGGTGGGACGGAGTTGGGGTGAGGTTGAGGTTAAATGGAGGTGGGGTGTGGGGATGGGGTGGGGCGGGATGGAGGTGGGGGTGGGATGGACGTTGGGGTGGGATGGAGGTGGGAGTGGGTTGGGGTGGATGAGGAGGGTAGGATGGAATGAGGTGGAGTGGGTAGCGGAAACTGAAACATCAAGGAGAAAAGTACTGACCTGCGAGAACTTCCTCTGAAAAGCCTCCAGCACGTCCCTGGCCTTGTCCTGTGTCCACTCGATGCTGGCCACTTTAGAGTCGTCCTCGTAGTACTGGAACAGGTCCTTGTCCGCCATCAGCTGGAGGATCGACTGGAATGCCTCCACACTGGGGAGCGAGGAGAGATGGTGATGATACTATTCAATGACGATGATGAAGATGATGATTATGATGATGACAATGATAATGATGACGATGATGAGGAGGAGGAGGAAGATGATGAAAAAGAAGATGATGATGAGGAGGACGAGAAGCAGGAGGAGGAGGAGGAGGAAGATGATGAAGATGATGATGATCACGACGACGATGAGTTCAAGTCCAAATCATAAAGGTGTCACACGTACGCCCCCAACCAATCATCTATCAAACTCCACCATCTCACGACACACAAGAAGCCCGCTGCCTGATATGTTCACGATAGACGCTCGACTCGGAACCGACTCACAACTGACTCAGAACCGACTAACAGCCCGACTCAGAACCGACACAGAACCGACTCAAAACCGACTCACTGCCCGACTCGGAACCGACTCACAACTGACTTAGAACCGACGAGCGAAGGTGAAGCAAATTCTGCAGATAAACCTCTGAAACTGAAAAGCATCATTTTGTTTTTCTCTCGGGTAATCAAAGGGAAAAACGCATGCGCCGGGCGAAGGGAGAGCCAAAACGGAGAAAATATTAAACTTGGAGGGACTGTTAACCCTAGGTGAATGAATACACGCAGAAACAGATACGTGCAAACACACACTGACGTTCACCACACACACACACACACACACACACA